TTAAATTTTTTCTACATTCCCCATTCAAGCCGTCTCCAGCCATTATTAGTCTCAAAGTGGGTTCCTCGTCATCGAATTTGACTGACCGACATTTGGCTTATATATATATATATATATAGATATATGAACTAAACATTTTGATATTAGAAATTTGTGATATTTATTATAAAGTAGCAGGATATAATAAAATTAATTGCTTTAAATATTCTAACAGTAGTGTTTATCAGTTATAACAAGATGGGATAGAATATATAATGTTGATATTCTAAAGGCAGAGTAATACGATGGTAAATAATGTAATATATTAATTACTGCTGATGATCCACTTCAAACTCGTGGTTAAACTATGAAATGTTGTGAACTGTCAAAATGGAGTCACTTCCTCGTATCTCATTTAAATCCGTGCATATCTATCCATTCGAAGGAACGTATTTTGTATTATGTGACTGAACGTCACACAGGAGTAATTTTTGTATTCTTTAAATCAACGGTGCTTGTTGTCTTGCGACATGTGTGGACGACGTTCCATACACTTCCTTGTACATAATAATTTTTCTCTGGTACGAATGGAGTTCTTGTATAATGAACAGAGCTGCCATGGGATAAGTTTTAGAATGGCATTTTTATCACTTTCACCTGGCTTTCTCAGTTCGAAACTTAAAAATTAGAGCTTTGCCTGAACTGTACTGAAGAACAGATGTGTGAATCTACATCTTTGTGTTGTATATATAGGGCTTTGATATGATATAAAACGATATATCACCTCACCGTATATAGCACACTGAACTTCTATACTGTCTGAAGAAAAATATATCAAACTTTACAGCGTTTCGGTCCACACGCTAATTTATTTTTTCGCGACAAATTGTTGAAAGATATCAGCAACCTGTTCAAGCAGAATATACTGTTAAGTAAGTTATGGTCTCAACAATATTGTTGCTTGTCTGAATGTATATTGTTGATTTTTCAGTATTGAAAAATGGACATTTAAAACACCAATAATATGAACTAAGAACTGACTTAGAATTTGTTGCCTTGCTAACTACATGTAAATCTATATAATATAATATTACTGTCTGTTGCTTGTTGTATGTCCATGTAAGTACTTCGCAGGGTGTGGATGTATCTTTACCAAAATTGGTATGGAGATTCATTAGGTCCATGTGGGTGTACATACAAAGTTTCAGTTTTGCAGTTTTTATGGGCGTTTTTTTGCGTTTTCACCACAGTTTATGAAACTTTGGAAGAGGTAATAATACAATAATCAGTTCATTATAAGCATAAGAGTTTAATAATATATATATATACACACACCTAGAATTTTTTTTATAGAATAATTATCTCATTCTAATTAGTTTTAATTTTGTGAATCTTCACCAAAAATGTTCACTTATGTTCATAGTTTTAATAAATAATAAACACAACAACAAAAACATTTGATTTATGAGTTGAAGTTGTGGTAATCTTACATAAAAGAAATACTTAACTCAAAACAAAGAAGATAAACTTAAGTGTAATCATTTCCCCCTCTTCATTGGAGACCATTCGCCAAAGCCTTCGTCAAATACGTCCTCGTCAAATCCACGGGAATCGACCTCCGGAAATGTTCGTCGTTCACGAACATCAGAATCGACATCTATGTAAGAATTATAGAGAGCAGCGTTACCCAAAGGGATGTTTTCATCCAAGGTTGTCGTGGGATGTTGGCTAACCAAACTACTCAGAAGAAACTTCCTAATATCTCCCTTGGCTACAGGATGGTAAAGGCTCTCCAAAGAGACAAGATTTCTTGTTGAATGTGATGTTTCTTTCTTCGCCAAGTTTGCAGTTGCAATCCCCAGACGACGACTTTCATGTCCTATTAGATGTTCTTTACCATCGATAAGAGAATGCCAATATGGATCCGTAAGTGAGAGGTCTTGCAGTGCCACCTGCCTGTATGATGGGTGAGCACTTGAATAAAGAAAACATACAAGGCCCAGGCAAACCCTTAAAACTAAGGAGCCGTTTCTTAAAATTTCCTGTAAGAAACAAAAACAAAAAACTGTGTTTTAAATAGATTTTCATGTACATTATATGTATAAAAGTTACTTGCACACGAAAACATCTTGTACGTTTTTCATTTATGCAGATCGCAGTATACGACTAATTTTTCACGTGTTAGGTATACATTACAGAATATAATTTCCACAAAAACTAACGATTTTCATGAAAAATAGGCTTAACTGTGAAATAATTGGTTGTTTATTATAAAAACATATAGATGCTTTACAGAGAATATGTTAGTTTTTTATTTGCACTAGTTCACGTTGATTAACTAAATCTCCCTTCAAAGAAAAACGTTGGTACACATATTATGCATTAATAACACAGACCACATCCGTACAATATACTTCACACGTACGAGATAATGTTTCATTTCTGAGAATTCAGTTTTACTGATTATTTTAATTTTTTATCGGTTGAGGAGGAAAAACGCTACGAAAACCTATATGATAACATTTTTATATTATTTTAATGAAATCTTTAATGCCGAAAAAAAAACGTTTTATTAAAATACGAGAAATATGATTTACTACAACTAAACACAAAATTATTAATGAAGACATTTTAAAACCAGGATAACCATATAATATGGTAAATTATTCGAGAACTATCTGTTTGTTTTTAACTATGCACAAAGCTACACAAGGGCTATCTGTGCTCTGCCCACCACGGGTATCGAAACCCGGTTTTTAGCGTTGTAAGTCCGCAGACATACCGCTGTGCCACTGGGGGGCCGAGAACTATCTACGCTAGCCATCCCTAATTTTGAAGCGATAAACTAGAAGAAAGGCAGACAGTCAATACCACCCACTGCCAAACACGACGAGGACCTCAAAGTGCAGAGCGTGATTTTGTTTCAGTGGCAATGGGGCGCGAACCACGGAATCTCAGATCACACAATCGGGCACGCTAACTGATGGGCCACACTCGAAATGTGCAGACATCTCAGTTGCACGATTTTTTCCCTTTAATTTTATGTGAGCAGAAAAATTCTTATTGCTAAAATTAAAGTAGTTATTTGTAATAAAAAAGTGAAATGTAGTTTTATTCATTTATTACCAATACTTACGAAAAGGTTAAGTTTTTGGATAAAATGTTTGTTTCAACGCAATTTTTTCATTAATCCATACGTTTTATATTGTTTGCCATACATATAAAGCTATGATGTAGGCAGACAAAAAATATAATCAATATATATTTTAACATGCTGTTACGCAGAATTATTTATGTCTTAAACACTATTTGTCAGCCTCATTCAGTTTGACGTTTTTCATTTAAATCAAATTTTCTTGCAAGTTTTTTTTCCAAATCTAAGTTGTGACTAAATCGTTTTATGTATAAGTTATTTAACTACAGTAGTGTTGATGGATTCTGAGAATCTGCCAGTGAAAGTAAAGAAGAATATTGTTGCGTCATCGAGATCACGTGACAATTCTCACGCTATCTTGTTTCTAGAACTATCATGTACT